TGTTCATTATTATCAGACTGTCCTAAAAGCTCACTGAAAAGCCTTTGATCCAAAACACCTGAGAGAGTACTGACAGGGACATAGCTCTCCTGTACTGGTTTCACTTCACTGGATCCTGTTAAATTTAAAGTCCTTGTCCTCACACACACAAGGTCTTGAATAATCAGGCACCATGTTTTCTTAAAGACCTCATAGTACCGTATAAGCCCAATAGAGCATTCTGCTCTCAGTCTGATGGTTTACTAGGGCTTCCTGAGATATTTCAAAGTAAAAATGTAGAGTCTTCACCTTTCAGGACACTCTTCTGTGGAACCAGCTCCCAGTTTGAATCCAGGAGATAGACACCCTTTCCGTTTTAGATTAGATTTAAACGTTCCTTTTTGACAAAGCATAGTAGTTTATATATATAGTGACTGTTTCTTGGGTCAGGTGAACATGAAATCTCTCTTAGTTATGCCCCAGAAAGTTGATTCTGTTCATCTGGACTTGGGGAGAAACGTTTCATCACTCATCTACATGACGTCTTCAGGGATCAAGAAACAGACCTACAGGCCACTGTTCTGCTGCTAGTTTCAGTCATTGTGCAAATGCATTGTTTACAAAGGTTGATTAAACCTGCAGTCAGCTGAGAATGAAGAAGTCAGTTGGATGAATGACGAAACGTTTCTCCCACTGAAAACGCTACGTCCAGATAAAGAGAATCAACTTTTGGGGATTTCCTTACCTGGATATTTATATTCCACTTTGCATTTCATTAGTTATTACTGATTTCTGGCTCTCTTCCACAGCATGTCTGTCAGGAAGGGCAGTGGCTCTCCCTCCATGAGCCCAGTTCTGCCAGAGGTTATCGTCTTGTGTTTGCTCATATGAGATCATCTGCTCATTGGGTTTATTAGGGTCTCTACCTTAAACTATAAAGCCCTTGAGGCCTTATATTGAATTGTATTAACTCACATTAAGCATCACAATCTAAAGATAAAATGTTTTCCAGGAACATTTCATGTTTCCCATTTGAGCATCACTATCATTGGCTATACCATCATTCCAATAGCAAAACTGCCATTTTCATTCTGTGATTTTCAGTGAAAAAGTATTTGCCCCTTTCCTTCTGTTAGGATCTGCCCAGCTGACTTTGCAAAGAGAGACAATTGAGAAGTATATTCATGAGAAGTATATTCAGGCCCACCTCATCTCTAGTGGGCGTAGGGTTGTTCTTTGTGGACAAAAAGGATAGGACTCTCAGGCCATTTATGGACTTCCTTAGATCACTGTAAAAAAAAAGAAAGAAAGAAAGAAAGAAAGAAAAGAAATACCCACTGCCAGGAAACAGTTCTGCTTTCAAGCCCCTCCATCTTTACAAAGTTGACCTCAGTACCATTTAGTCAGAAGGGGACAAGTGGAATTCAACACACCACTGGACTACTTTGAATACCTGGTGGTGCTTGTTGGACTAACGAAACACTCCCCCACCATGTTTCATGTCCTAGTAACTGATGTCCTCGGACACTTTCTGAACATCTTTGTATTCAGCATGCTGCAGCAGTTAACTGAGATCCGTCTCTATGTGTTTCACACACCCTCAGTAACTTTTCTAAGTTGTGTTTTCAGAGGACTTAGAGGGGGTCGAGCAACATTTTGTAATATGGACTAACCATAGGAACTTGACTTATGTGCAGAACACCAAAGGCAGAATTCAGGCATGTTGGTCTCTGCTCTTTGGTTGTTCAGCTGCTCCGTTTCTTATCATCCAGGGTCAAGGAATATAAAGCCTGATGCCCCTTCCCATGAGTTTTCACTTGATAGAGATGATCTTAAGCCAGAGAGCGTTCTTGCATGCTCACACACAGTGGGGAAGATAATCCTGGGAGTTTAAGCTGGATCCTTGTCACAGGCCTTCTTCCATAGATTCTCTAAATCAGGACATTTCATAGTTCCTTCTCTAAATTATCAAACTCCTGCCACTGAAACGTTTAATCTCCATCTTGAACATGTTTTCAGGCTCAATGGCATTCCTTTGGAGATTGTGTCAGACCGACAACCCGCTTCATATCCCAGTTATGGAAGGTTTTCCATTCACCTCTCGGAGCCAACCTGAGTTCCGGATTTGCGGACAAACAGAAAGATTAAACCAAGAGTGGAAGGCAGACCTCCGCTGTGTTGGCTCAAGTAATGGACGGATGGATTGAATGTGCGCATAAGTCACTTACCTCATCTGCAACAGGTCTCTCTCCATTCAAAGTGCCCCTAGGTTACAAGCCTCGCATGTTTGTGGGCACAGACAAGAGCCCGCCTTCTCCACACAAATGAACAGAAAGGACGTCTCGCTGGCCTCCCTGCTACTCCCAAGGTGAGAGAAGGGTGGTTCTCCTGAAATCTCTTTCTAGGACTCTCCGCTGTAAAACTAAAATTGCTCCAGGATACACTGAACTTTTCACATGTCACAGTTAAACCGTGTTTCTTCCAGTCCACTGCGCTCTCCAACCAACTGCGTACCTCCCGCCAGCTTGTATTCGACGGCAGCCTGCACACAGTGTTTGATGGATTGTGGATGTCTGGCACCGGGAGCATCCGTAGTTGATCGGGAGGAGTATGGTCCTGTTTAAAACTGCAATCCAATCAATTTTACACTCTGCTTATACATGAATACCCTCCAGTGTGGCTGAATTAAAATACTTCTGAAAAGAAGAACGGGGCAAACTTTCTCCACAGCGCTGTGAAAGACTGAATGCAAGATATTGCTAAAGATGCTGCTAAGGGTGGTAAAGCAGTTATTAGGTTTAGGGGGCAAATACTTTTTCACACAGGGCCAGGTAAGCTTGGATGGATTTTTCCCTTAAATAAAAGAATTATTTAAAAACTGAAAGTTGTCTCCTTTGGTTATCTTTGTCTAATATTTACAATTTCTTAATGATCTGAAACATGTAAGTGTGACAAATAAGCAAAAAAAGTAACCAGGTAAAGAGCAAATACGTTTTACAGCAGTGTAGAGCAAAGGCCGTTACAACCTAATCATGTTGTGAAAGCGACACGAAATTCATAATTTTCAAGATATAAACTTGTCATGTACAAACCGAACATGTTTTTGTGAAAATTATCTCCTCAAAGAAAGCACTGTGAAGAAAATGAAGTCAATATGAAGCCATGATGAGCTGGTACTGATGTTTCCAAACGAGAAGGAATCAGTTCATCCAAAACTCACAAGAAGGAAGCAACAGGGAGAATTTCAAGGTTTGCTTCAGGAATTGAAGCTGTATCATGGCCACTTTCTTACATATCTTAGGATCATACTGGGGCTGTTGCAGCTTTTTAGCTACCGAGTTTTGCCTCTGAGGAGGCAGTGAAATCACTTCAGACACAGAGCAGCATCTAGCTACTTGTCTCAGGTAAAATTGTATTATTCTACAATTTGTATATTCAGTACTGGTGTGCACGTTGAGTCATGTGTGCACTTGCTCAGATCTGTTGATTAGGATCAGAAAAAATGATCAGACTACATGGTCAGTGTCGACGGCTGCTCAGGTGACGCTATTTAGTTGACTCAAAATATTTTTAATGCACACAGATGTTACACATCTGGTGTGTAAATGCCTGAACAATAGGTTTTATGATGTGCAGATGGGTTTCTTTATTCTCAGCATCTAGATCTCCTGCAAGGTGGCATACATTGTTGTGGTTGTATTTGTATTCAGTGTATTCAGTGGTTGTGTTTTCTTCATCAACAAAGGCTAGGGTGGCTGTGGGGTTCTGTGACTGTCTTACTGAATTCAAAATGTTCTGTCTACCTTCCTAGGTTGTAGTCAAAATCCTCGGCTGAAACACAAAACTGAGTGATGAAAACAGTCAAGAGAAATAATTTTATGGAATGGAATCAGTTTTCAGGCCCCTCCTCTGTAGAAGAAGCTTCCAGTTTGGATTAAGATCAGGCTTCAAACTTTCCTTTTTGCAAAAGCATATAGTTAGGGCTGCATCGGGTGACCCTGAATCCTCCCTTAGTTATGCTGCAATAGACGTAGGCTGCCGGGGGATTCCCATGATGCATTGAGTTTTTCCTTTCCAGTCACCTTTCTCACTCACTATGTATTAACAGACCTCTCTGCATTGAATCATATCTGTTATTAACCTCTGTCTCTCTTCCACAGCATGTCTTTATCCTGTCTTCCTTCTCTCACCCCAACCAATCACAGCAGATGGCCCCGCCCCTCCCTGAGCCCGGTTCTGCCGGAGATTTCTTCCTGTCAAAAGGGAGTTTTTCCTTCCCACTGTCACCAAGTGCTTGCTCATAGGGGGTCATATGATTGTTGGGTTTTTCTCTGCATGTATTATTGTAGGGTCTACCTTACAATATAAAGCGCCTTGAGGCGACTGTTGTTGTGATTTGGCGCTGTATAAATAAAACTGAACTGAATTGAATTGAATTGAATTGGAGGAATAATTAAACACAGAGCTTGTTTGCCACAGTTTGTCCAATAGCCTGCCTACATCTTCATGCCTATGTGGCAATTCTTTTTCCAGATCCATAAAGTTTTGCATTGGATTTTGACACCTCAAAATTATATTCCCATCTGGACTGACTGGGAAAAGCTTCACATCATGATTATGAGCTATTTTTATCCTCCTTATCAAGACTTGGTTTGGTGCTCATGACATTGGAAAAAAGGTCATCATCATAATTATCTGTGATAGAAAATGTAAATTCTGGAATTTTACAATGAATTTTATTCCACATATTCACATTTATATTAGCACTATCACGAGCACTATCACGTTTAGTGTTGCTCAAACTGCAAATCTACGACATCACTGGTCAGTTACAGTTATTGTCTTAGAACAAATAATTTGATGTTGCTAGTTGAGCCATGTGCTTCAAAAGTCAAGATTCAAAACCAATGAACCATCATATGAATTAGACTTGTTGCCTCACAGCAACAAAAAAGTGTTTTGTGTGCGGTCCACGGTGAGAGTTCACTGTGGACTGCACTCTTTCTCCACTGATGTCTTACCGTCAGAGCGGTGGATGCAGGTATGCTGGTTGTCACTGAGGAAGAAGCCCTCTGTGCACATACACTCATAGCTCCCCATGGTGTTAACACACACTTGCTGGCATCCACCGTTGTTGTCCAGACACTCATCCACATCTGTTTGGATGGAGAGATACAGAGAGAGAGAGACATAAAGGGAAGTGAGCAAGATAAAGTCGGCCACGACAGCGTGCTGGAATAACAGCCCATTAGACTTCATAAATAAACTTGTGTCAGTGAGAGTTTATGTGCCGGGAAATGTCTGATGAGACGGATGACACCAGAGTCAGGAATGCGAGGGCCACACGCACACGTGCACACACAGACTGGGAGAAAGGGCAGGCACGCTGTCCTAAGGGGCCGACCCTGGCACAGCGGGCGGCCGAACCAAACTTCAGGCACTGTAAAAGGGGGTGACAGGGGTGTGTTGGTGTGAGTGTCTGCATTGTGTCGTTGCGTCTATGTGTGTGTTAGTGCACACTGGTGGTGCACGAGTGTGTTTATAGGGCCCGACTGTGCTGCTGAAAGGCCAGTAAATTTCCAATGGGGCATGTTGATGGGCCTGAAGTGAACTGGAAACATGTAACACCCTTGACTGACTTTAAGAGGGATCAAACAGGGCCACCCCTGTGTGTGTGTGTGTGTGTGTGAGAGAGAGAGAGAAAAAGAGACTTTGCATTGTGTTTAGTCTGAGGTGGTGAAGTTGACGTAACAGACAGTGCAGACAGGTTACACAAACACAGGCAGAAGGAAGGACAGACAGACGAGAGGCGATGTCATACGTGCTGGGAGACTGAGGGGATCAAACATGGAGCTTTTCTTTCTGTTATAATTAGTGCTGTCAGTGGCAGTGCTGTTGCCCCGTGCGCGGGGCTGCACGGCGCTAACGCGTTAATGAGCTAACTGCGCTAATGCGTTGAAGCTGTTAATGCGGTTATGGCGTTAACGTCATTTTAACGAGATTAACGCTGACAGCACTAATTATAATTTGTCAAATATTTTCAGTGGTTGACAGGTCTGGACTTTAGGTAAGCTAAATTAGACTGTTATTAGTGAACCTTGCTTTAAATATACATATATATATATATATATATATATGTATATATAAAAACACCCAGCACGCCCCTGCGGGCGGTCTATCCTTCCAGCTCGGGTCCTCTACCAGAGGCCTGGGAGCTTGAGGGTCCTGCGCAGTATCTTAGCTGTTCCCAGGACTGCGCTCTTCTGGACAGAGATCTCCGATGTTATTCCCGGGATCTGCTGGAGCCACTCGCCTATCTTGGGAGTCACCGCACCTAGTGCTCCGATTACCACGGGGACCACCGTTACCTTCACCCTCCACATCCTCTCCAGCTCTTCTCTGAGCCCTTGGTATTTCTCCAGCTTCTCGTGTTCCTTCTTCCTGATATTGCTGTCATTCGGAACCGCTACATCGATCACTACGGCCGTCTTCTTCTGTTTGTCTACCACCACTATGTCCGGTTGGTTAGCCACCACCATTTTGTCCGTCTGTATCTGGAAGTCCCACAGGATCTTAGCTCGGTCATTCTCCACCACCCTTGGGGGCATGTCCCATTTTGACCTCGGGACTTCCAGGTTATACTCGGCACAGATGTTCCTGTACACTATGCCGGCCACTTGGTTATGGCGTTCCATGTATGCCTTGCCTGCTAGCATCTTGCACCCTGCTGTTATGTGCTGGATTGTCTCTGGGGCATCTTTACACAGCCTGCACCTGGGGTCTTGCCTGGTGTGATAGACCCCAGCCTCTATGGATCTTGTACTCAGAGCTTGTTCTTGTGCTGCCAGGGGCACGGTATATATATATATATATATATATATATATATATATATATATATATATACCCTGCACGGTATGTACCACCGGCAGATAGAGGAGGTGGCTGATATCCAGAAATCCTACCAGTGGCTGGACAAAGCTGGACTGAAAGACAGCACAGAGGCACTAATCATGGCAGCACAAGAACAAGCTCTGAGCACAAGATCCATAGAGGCTGGGGTCTATCACACCAGGCAAGACCCCAGGTGCAGGCTGTGTAAAGATGCCCCAGAGACAATCCAGCACATAACAGCAGGGTGCAAGATGCTAGCAGGCAAGGCATACATGGAACGCCATAACCAAGTGGCCGGCATAGTGTACAGGAACATCTGTGCCGAGTATAACCTGGAAGTCCCGAGGTCAAAATGGGAGATGCCCCCAAGGGTGGTGGAGAATGACCGAGCTAAGATCCTGTGGGACTTCCAGATACAGACGGACAAAATGGTGGTGGCTAACCAACCGGACATAGTGGTGGTAGACAAACAGAAGAAGACGGCCGTAGTGATCGATCTAGCGGTTCCGAATGACAGCAATATCAGGAAGAAGGAACACGAGAAGCTGGAGAAATACCAAGGGCTCAGAGAAGAGCTCGAGAGGATGTGGAGGGTGAAGGTAACGGTGGTCCCCTTGGTAATCGGAGCACTAGGTGCGGTGACTCCCAAGCTAGGCGAGTGGCTCCAGCAGATCCCGGGAATAACATCGGAGATCTCTGTCCAGAAGAGCGCAGTCCTGGGAACAGCTAAGATACTGCGCAGGACCCTCAAGCTCCCAGGCCTCTGGTAGAGGACCCGAGCTTGAAGGATAGACCGCCCGCAGGGGCGTGCTGGGTGTTTTTATATATACATATATATATATATATATATATGTATATATATACATATTTGCAGAATGTAGTTTGGCATTGTCCTGCTTAATAAAACAAGACTTGCCTCTGATGAGAGTTAATACATTTAAGTTTATAATGTTCTACCTAGCTTACATAAATGGCAAGCAAAGCACACCAGCTAACCTCATCTCAAAGCAAATAAGCCATCCACCCATATCCTTCTGCTTGGTAAAGGGCAAGAGACAGGGTACACCCAGGACAAGCTGCCTATCTTTCACTCACCAATTAACCGGACCCATCCATATCTTTGGACTCTGGGAGAAAGCCAGAGTACCATGACATGGAAGCTCCACACACACAAAAAGCCCCAGGCAGGAGCTGAACCAAGGATCTTCTTGCTATGATGAAACAGTACTAACCGCCACAGCACCTTTAAAACAGCCATATTTACTCCAATTCAGAAAGGAACACTTTGGAAAGTCTGTCATAACGAAAAGGAAAGCTGGTAATTATTTACACTTAGAAGAACCTTTCAGCTTTAGTAAAATGAACACAGCACCTTAATTTCTAATGTCAGATAAGAGAGTTCAGACAATAACTATCAAGAGACAGGTCCATAGGACCTTCACATATACCTTCCACTGAATGAACGGATGTCTTTGTGAGTTCCTGTATATTAGCATGAGACCCGCTGCTCTGCACAAACGATATACTTCTGTTCAGTATCAAATGTAAAACTCTGAGCATAGTGTGACCAGCCTGTCTGCTAGCATCTGAAACTGTGATTTTGCTAAGAGGTTTTTCCTCTTAGGTACAGGTAGGTCTTTCCTCTTGTCTCTTGCACTGTTTACTAAGGTCGCCCCCCACATGGTGTTAAAGAGAGAGGCTCTTCAGGGAATACAGAAAAACAAGAACAAGAAATGCACCAGACATGACACTCCTCTAGTTACAGAGCCCTATATTATGTTCATTTAAAGGGAGGCCATAAAAAAGAGTACATATGTGTAATATATGGGCCGCTGTGTTGGTGGGAAATCATTTATATAGTTTCCAGCTTCGAAAAAGCATTTGCAAACTGGAACGCTGTCTTTGTAGTAACTGCTTGAATGACATAAACAACACAATTAGGTCATTCTAAAGATGTATTATTGGGGTGGCTGTAGAGTAAGTCAGTGACTAATCGGAAAGGTGGTGGTTCGGTGCCTAGCTTCTCCGGTCTGCATGCAAGATCCTGACCTCGTGTTGCTCTCTGATGTATCCATTGGTGTTTAAATATCAGACAGAAAGTACATAGTACTCGAGCGGTTATTTTGTGTTTAGTTTGTGTGTGCATGACATCATATGATGTCAGTGATATCATATCACTAACATCATCAAATGTCCTCATGGACTCCTGCTGTAGCAAGAGACTACCACAAGGTGGTTTTGACTAGTTTGGCAGGTGCACATCCCTCTCTCTGAGCGTGCTAAACCACAAGATGCAATCACAAAGCTTAAACTGTGAAAAATGAAACTCCATAGACTCGACTAGACTTCAGACTTTTATTCTACTGACCTTAACTGCACTGCATTTTTACCAAATGTAGGCTACTGTAGATGGCGCATGAATGGGAGTCTAGACAAGCATTGTGTCCTGGCCTTATAAATGCATGAGCTTCCAGTAAATGCGTAAATAAAGTGGTTTAAGAATAGCACAGAAGTCACGTTGTCCTCGCTGAACCCTCAGCTTTGTTTTTATTGCACTTCCTAACACTATTTCAAGCAAATCTCATGGTTTAATGCTTGTCATAATATCACTGGTTCATTTAGTTTCCAGGCTGGAGAGGGGGAGGGAGTGAGGACAGAGAAAGAAGAACTGAAGCTGTGTCCAAGTCTAAGTGATCTCTGCCAACATTTCTGCATGAACAAAGGCCAGTTCCAAAATGCACTCATCTGTTTTGTTTGATTGCGCTTTGTAAACTCGTGTAAAAGTTTGTTTGGACACAGTGACAATGTGCTTCTCACATCAACTGAGAGGCTGAGGGAGGCAATTCAATTCAATTTTATTTATATGGTGCGAAATCACACCAGCTTCCTCAAGGTAATTAAGGCAAGGCTTAAAGCAAGGCAAGTGGGGTGAAAAACAAAATGGAAAAAGGCACGGAAAGGTAAGGGGGGTAAAGCTTGTAATTCATAGTTGCGATACAGTCATGGGGAAAAGAAAGTACACTCTCATTCAGACAGCATTAAAAATATAAAAACCAGTGGGTACATAGTGGATCCTAAAATTATCTATTTGCCATCTATCAGCATCAATATATGTAACTGCTAATAATGTACGTCTTAAAATGTAAAGAAGAGATTGCGAGAAATACCGTTCAACTTGTAACATCCTAAGTTGCATTATTTGTCCACTAGAGGGCACTCTGCAGCTTCCTTCTTGGTAACGCGTGTGGAATGCTACAAACGTAA